ATTGATTTGCCAGGAGAACGAGGGGGATAATGACCCTGTATTGCAGGGCATTGTAGACGTTCTTTATGCCACAGACGAAGGCTTTGTGGTACCTGATGAAGGGGGCCCACAGGAGGAACAAGAAGAGTATTAACAGCCTGGAGCAGCAGAGCAACATCCGAATTCACTTCAAACCACGTGCTGTAAAATTCTCCCTTTTATTACTCTTAGAGGACTCACTGGTTTCTTTTCAAAAGCAAGAAGTACCTCTTCTTAAAGTGCACCCATCTATGTCCCCTTGTGTGTTTTAAATAAATTCAATAAATTATAGGATTCGAGGAATCAAATCCGGTTCATAAGCCTTTTTATTCCTTGACCTCTGAGAAAACTTTCCTGGTAGTGAACTTGGAGTCTGCCATTCCTCACAGCACACATAACCTGATTTGGGGGATAGTTAAAGCAGCCTAAAATCTATCTGATATTTCTAAACATATTTAAGGTGGAAGTAAAATTTTAAAAAATTTTTATTTATTAATTATTATTTTACATTCTAAGATGTTGTGGAGCAGTTGGGGGAGGGGGAGAGGAGAAAGGGGAAGGGAATAGGGTGGGAGAAGGAAGATGCGGGGGCATGATTGAGGCCCATGGCACCCCCCTCATTCTGGCAGGGAAGTCCAGTGGGCTTTCGGCGGCAATTTGGTTGTGGCTGGGGTAGATATGGAATGCAGAGGATTGTGGCTAAGGCCCTCGGCCCCACCCCCCACCCTGACTTGAGACCCCAGGGTGCTTCCAGCAGTGGCCTGGTGGTCATTGCTGGGCTGAATGCAGACGTTGGGGGGACATGGCTGAGGCCCTTGGCCTTCCGCCCACCCCAGCTTGGGAGCCTGGGGGGCTTCTGGTCCTTCTAGGTTTTATAGGTGTTCTTTGATGGTGTTAGAACTTTAGTGGTTAATATCAAAACTTAGCCTCTGCTCTATGGGTTTTTTGTTTTTTCTTTCAGTTCTGTGTTAGATTATTCACTGTTTCCACCACTTAAACTCTACAGTGGAATAATTTGTTGTCCTGTGCCTACTTCTAAAATTGGGGAACTTCCTGTGGGGACCAGTGCTTGAGCCCTGTTGTTGAGCTAAATTGCTATTTTGCTGTTGATTCTCTGGGGAAGGCTTTTTGTGCAGCTCAGGTTTTAATTGTTGACCTTGTAAGCACTTCTGGGTCTTGCGAGGTCCAGTACACCTGAGTTGTATGGAAACTCTTATCTAGGCTTGAGTCTTTTCAGCAAACTGCTCCCCCTGCAGTTCTATATTCCTGACCAGTCTCTACCGAGTTGTGCTGTGGAGGTCAGATCAGCTGTCCGTTCTGGGCCCCAATGTTCCCCCAGTAGGCCCATGTCCACCACCCACCGCACTCCAAACACTTCCCATGGGACGGGCCATGCGCTGGTCCCTCGTGATGACTCACTGGCCTCTGAGGGGCTCCATTTTTCAGTTGTCCATGGCCCCTCACTCCTGTTAGTGGTCTTGCTGGCCTGGGGGCCACCAGGGCCCTCTTCTCCCCTGCTGCCTTCAAGCACCATCATATGAAGGGCACAGCTGTGGTTTTTACGAGCTCTTGCTCCATGTGCTCACCAGGGCCAGCCTTGAAATTGCCAAGGCTCAAATTGGTTGGAGTGGTCTCTTCTTTGTCTCATCATGGCTTCTCTCACCTTCATGAGCTCCATAGGTCTCTCCTCCTCTTCTCCTGATCTCCATCAGCCCCACCTTGGAAGTCATTGCTTTTTAATACTTGTAAATTGGTTGATTGTGGGAGAGGTTGATGCTGGGGACTGTCTGATCTATCTTGATCAGAAGTCTTTGGAAGTAAAATTTTATTCTTGAGTTTCCAAACCAAGTCAGTTTGTCTAGTCAAGCCCCTTCCAGGTAGCATGATTGTTTATGTGGTTACAGAGAAAGGGGGAAAAAACAAAACTTTATGTGAGAAAGGGAAAGGGATTAAGAGAGAGAGGCACATCGCCTCATGATTCCCATTCACTCATTGATTCAATAAACAATGAATCCCCACCACGTTCCACTTATTGTGGTAGAGTTAGAGTGTTGAATAAGCTAGAGTCCTACCATCAGGGAAATTTCTTTCTTCAAGAGGCCCCAGATGCATGACACCCAAATAAGTGAGCTAAGTGAGAGGCATTTATAAAGGGTCATGGGAAAGAGACGTGGGTGTGGAAGCATGTGCTAAGGGGTGTGTGTATATATAAGAAAAATGAAGACCTCACAGAGAAAGTGTCATTTTAGAAGTCTTCAAGGAGGAATAGGAGTTTGCCTGATGGACAAACAACCACACTTTGGTAATCCATTAAGGAGGGATGATTGCAAGCAAAGCCCCAGGCATGCGAAAGAATGTGAGTGTGGAACATGGAGGAGCATGGTGTGAATGGAGCATGGGTATGGAGAGGGAGAGGCAGGTGACCACGCTGTAAAGGTGGGCCAAATAGCGTCCCAGGATGAAAATTACATAGGCTTCATCCTAAGCCATCCTTCCAGTTACTCAACATAAATAAATAACAGTATATTAGAGCTTGCAGTCACCCTTGATTCCTCTCTCTTTCTCTCTTCTTCCATTCCTGTAGCATGTCCTGTTTGCTTGACCTTCATAGAATATGCTCCACCTTCAAAGAATACCTTTAAAGAATCCAGCCACTTCTCACAACCTGCAGGATCCACCTTGGTCCAGGTGACTGTCATCTCCCATTGGATTTCTGCAATTGCCTCTGAACATCTCTCCCCACTTCTGTCCTATCCACTCCTCCGCAGCATTCTACTCAACCCAGTAGCTAGAGTGATCTTTTAAAAACTGAACTTAGATCAAAACTCTCCTCTGCTGAAAACCCTTCAAAGCTCCTCATCTCACGCAGAGTAAAATCTGAAGTCCTTACAATGCCCACAAAGTTGGACATTCTCTCCTCCGCCTCCACGTCCTGCCTCTCATCCTCGCTCCATTCCAACCACACTGGCATGCTCCCTCCTAACCACAGGACCTTTCTTCACCCTGTCATTCCCTCTGCCTGGTGAGCTCTTCCCCCAAGTCTCCACTTGGTTCCATCCCCCACTTCCCCAGCACCTGCTCAGTGTGCCTCCTCACAGAAATCTCTCTTAACCAACCTACTTAAAGTAGCTCTGGTCTTCCCTGCCCTCACTTGCTTTCCTTTTCCCTGTAGTACTTCTCACCACCTGACACACTACACACTTAGGTATCGTTTGTCTCCCCTACTAGAATGTCAGCTCCACAGCCTAGGGATGTTTGGATGTTTGTTCATTGCTGAATTTCCAGCACCCAACACAGTACATGGCACACAGTAAGTGCTCTGTAAATATCTGGAGGAGGGAGGGAGGGAGGGAGGACAGTAGAAGTGTTGTAAGCAGAGGAGTCTGGTGATCATATTTATATCTTGGAAAGGTCCCCCTCAAGAAAGCTGAGACCGAAGCAGGTAGTTGGGCAACAGGTAATAAAATCCCGCTGCAGAGAAGAACTAGATTCTAGAGATATTTATAAACAGAACAGAGATCAAAAGAATGTTTACAGACTGACTGACAGATTAGAGCTAGCAATAAAGAGTAAATAAAATTCAATTTACCCAGCAAATACGTAGTGAGCATTTGCTATAGGCAAGGAATCATAAGAGAAAGGGATTAAAGTATAGATTGTGCCCCAAGGGGGTGACAATCAGGTAAGTAGCGAGCATGCAAGAGAAGTTTGGTACAAGTGCTGGGACAGTGGGAGAGGAAAAGACTTGATTTCCATCAGTGGGGAAAATTAGGGAAGTCATGGGGGAGAGAGTACCTAAGCTGGGTCTTGAAAATGGGTAGAATTTCAAAGACGAAGACTGGAAAGAGTAGTGTGGTGATGTGTGACAGATTTTGAATTTCACCATCTCTACCATCACCTACATAACTTTTGAGAGAGTTGCTAATGATATGAGAACTAGTTCTTTCTATACCCCGTAAAATAAGATAAAATTTTAAAAAGAAGGTGAGGGACACAGAAAAGCAGAAAGGAAAAGATAGGATAATCCACCACCTGAATAATTTTGTCCAGAACAAGTGAACCATACCAATAAGATTTTGAGAAAACACAGCCAAAATCACTTCCTTGTTCAGATGTGTCACAAAGGGAACGACGACAACAAAAATCCTCCAAGCAAATAACTCTGCTGACTCTTGGACTTCGACCTGGGAGAACAATTTTCTGCCAGATTAATACTATTTTACAGGCAAGTTAAGATCCTTGGTAAGCAGGATTCCTCCATAAAGGCTGACAGTCATGCCGGCTTGCAGAGCTTGCCCACATTTTTAATAAAACTGTCAGATTAAGCCATGCTTGGCTGCAGTATATTATTAATACAAATTCTTAACTGTCAATTAGTTAACTGGCTAGTGAAAAGAACCTGGCTTATAAGATTGTTGCTAATGAATATAATGCTTTGTTTTCCAGCACAACATATGCTTAGATTGTGTAATTAGAAGAAGGGGCCCCTCCCTCCCCACAGGCAGAACATGTGCAGCTGAATAAAGGAGCTTATTATACCTGTAAGGGGTCAAAGTCTGTGGATCTGTGGCTTACGGTATTATGACAGATTACAAAATCACCCTATTATGTTAGTCAATCTGTTTCCAAGCACCTAGCAGGGGACTAGCTGGGCACTAGAAGCTCTGAAACAGGATTCCCATTGGTTTTCTTCCTGAGGTCTTATGACGGGTCAGCTGTTGTTGACATCGACCGGCAGCTCACATGTCAGTCAGAGCCTTTATGTCTGACTTCTGCTCTGTCACTGCCAAGCTCTCCTCTGAGAGTCAGCCTGTGCCTCAGGCCAGCTCCCAAGAAAAGCCAAATGAGTGTGAAATCCACAGGCAGCCCAGTCATTTGTGCTAGTGAAAGAGAAGAGGAAGTGGAACACTTAAACCCCTTGTGCCCTTTGTTTCTGACTCTCTCCCCTGTCCTTTCCCTATCTCCCTTCATTTTCTCTTCAACTATTTTCCTGGTTCCTCGTCCCTCTTCTTCCCACCGTGGGAATATTCCTTCTTATAAAACATATTTACAGAGGACAGCGGCGAGTACAGACCCATCTCCTCCAAAAGCCTTTGTTTGAATTCAATGGCCACATGTACCTACAAAACCATTCCAAACTCAAGAGGTCAAAAGATACTTGCATGATACTTCAGAGAAGTGCTTTTAAGGAAAGTGAATTTCATTACCTCAGCAGAGTACTCTTCAAAGTTTTCCTCCCTTAAATGTCTACTTTTCCAGAAGTGTCCTGCCATTGGCAGGATTGTCTGTGTGGGAAGGCAGGGGTGATTGTCTACATTTCTGCCACCTCCAGCCTCTCTGCCTAGTTTCTGCAACTGTCCAAACAACCCAAAGTTTATGAGGAGGTAATTCACTGGTGAATGTGACATGTCAAATCATAATATTTATAAGACTTAGTGAGTAGGAATAAAACCACAATTTTTCTTGGCCAGCCCATGGCTCACTTGGGAGAGCATGGTGCTGACAACACCAAGTCAAGGGTTAAGATCCCCTTACCAGTCATCTTAAAAAAAACAACAACAACGCATGGTGCTGACAACACCAAGTCAAGGGTTAAGATCCCCTTACCAGTCATCTTAAAAACAACAACAACAACAACAAAAAATCTTAAAAAAAACAACAACAACAAAACCCCCACAATTTCCCAAGTAGTAATATCTGGAAGAAAAATTTTGAAAACTATATCCGCAGGAGCTTCAGGGAGCAGAGCTGCTTCCCTAAGGTAGAGGAAGAGTCTGGCTCAAGAGGGAAACCAATATTCACTGCTGCCCCATTCATTTAGGAGCCACACTGCTTGGAAGACACAGCTACTTTTCATTAATGAATACTTTTTAGGTGACTGTTAGGGACCTATGGTAAGGCAAGAGATGAAAGGAACCTGGACAGACCTAGGGGATAAATGGTGTCACCCAGAAGGGCTCTGCAGTTATAAATGAGGAAGCAAAAATTAAAAAATTATAATAATAAAATAAAAATTCAAAATTCAAAAAAAGAAAATAAGTAAATGAGGAAGCAGAAACTGAGCCCATTAAAGGGCTTGTGTCAGTCACATCTGTAGTTGATGGTTTAGTGTTATTTTCCCCCCATGTCTTCTACGTATCCTTATGGCTCCTATAACTTTATTTAATGGTTCTATTAACCCAACATGCCATTGGATAGCACCCTCTTTGTAAAGAAGCCTGCGTGGTTCTCCAGGGTTTTTACCTGATGTGTATAAGATGTTCTCTAACATGAGTGGAGAAGGGAAGTCGGGGAGAGATCCACTGTAGGTAGTAAATGGAGGAACTGGGTCCTGAGACATTTGAAACAAGAACAAGAGCTTTTGGTGTATTGCAAACAGCAGGAGCTTTGTCATTAGAAATATTTGATTCATGGCTTTTGCTTACTAGTTGTGTGACCTTGAACAAGTTACTGAACTTACCTGAGTCTCAGTTTCATCATATATAAAAATGAGTATGAGTATAATCAGAACTACCTTGGGAGAAAACCAATGTAAAAAATGCCCAGGGCAAGGTCTAGCACATAGCAGGAACTCAGTAATGGGTTTTAAAAATCATTATTAGTTTTGAAACACTGCACTTTAGTGGACTCCAAAGTGTCCAAGCTTCCAAAGATAAGGAATTCAAGAAACATTTAAACATTTTACATTACAGAACAATGCTGCTGAGACTGCTTCATGTGCTAATGAAAAGCTGTGTCCTGGGCAATTTATGAAAAGTAAAGCACCTCATGTCTTCCCCTATTAGATTACAAGAGCCTTAAAGAAAGGAATGGCATCTTTCTTTTTGCTACATCCCCAGCACCTACCATAAACAGGCACATCATAGCTCCCAATACTGCTTGGGTATTATCTCATTGAGAAATTTAAACTGATGTGTGAAAAGCCCTACTAACATGCAACCTTTCAGAATGATGGGAAACATTATAAGGGACTATCAGAGTGCAGTCCAGGTTTAAGAAGAGTTCCTATTAGAAGCAATGGCCTTGGCTGATGAGTCTTTGTGTCTTACTACCCACAGTGATGTTCCTGGGGGCTTCATTCCTGGCAGAGATTCTGAATCCAGTTGACATTGTAATTGCTCAACCTATTACTATTTGAACAATAGCCCACAATCCTAGAGCTTGTTTTATTTGTTAATTTATATATTCAACAAATATTTATCAAGCATCTGCTACATGCCAGTTGCTCTCTGAAATGCTGGGGATACCTGTGGTGAACAAGACTAGCAAATTCTGATGGAGTTTTACCTTCTAGAGGGAGGGAAGATGCACAGACAACAAACAGTAAGAATTAACTCAATAATTTCAGATCTTGGTAGGTACTATGATGGGCTAGTGACCNTGGTGCTGACAACACCAAGTCAAGGGTTAAGATCCCCTTACCAGTCATCTTAAAAAAAACAACAACAACAAAACCCCCACAATTTCCCAAGTAGTAATATCTGGAAGAAAAATTTTGAAAACTATATCCGCAGGAGCTTCAGGGAGCAGAGCTGCTTCCCTAAGGTAGAGGAAGAGTCTGGCTCAAGAGGGAAACCAATATTCACTGCTGCCCCATTCATTTAGGAGCCACACTGCTTGGAAGACACAGCTACTTTTCATTAATGAATACTTTTTAGGTGACTGTTAGGGACCTATGGTAAGGCAAGAGATGAAAGGAACCTGGACAGACCTAGGGGATAAATGGTGTCACCCAGAAGGGCTCTGCAGTTATAAATGAGGAAGCAAAAATTAAAAAATTATAATAATAAAATAAAAATTCAAAATTCAAAAAAAGAAAATAAGTAAATGAGGAAGCAGAAACTGAGCCCATTAAAGGGCTTGTGTCAGTCACATCTGTAGTTGATGGTTTAGTGTTATTTTCCCCCCATGTCTTCTACGTATCCTTATGGCTCCTATAACTTTATTTAATGGTTCTATTAACCCAACATGCCATTGGATAGCACCCTCTTTGTAAAGAAGCCTGCGTGGTTCTCCAGGGTTTTTACCTGATGTGTATAAGATGTTCTCTAACATGAGTGGAGAAGGGAAGTCGGGGAGAGATCCACTGTAGGTAGTAAATGGAGGAACTGGGTCCTGAGACATTTGAAACAAGAACAAGAGCTTTTGGTGTATTGCAAACAGCAGGAGCTTTGTCATTAGAAATATTTGATTCATGGCTTTTGCTTACTAGTTGTGTGACCTTGAACAAGTTACTGAACTTACCTGAGTCTCAGTTTCATCATATATAAAAATGAGTATGAGTATAATCAGAACTACCTTGGGAGAAAACCAATGTAAAAAATGCCCAGGGCAAGGTCTAGCACATAGCAGGAACTCAGTAATGGGTTTTAAAAATCATTATTAGTTTTGAAACACTGCACTTTAGTGGACTCCAAAGTGTCCAAGCTTCCAAAGATAAGGAATTCAAGAAACATTTAAACATTTTACATTACAGAACAATGCTGCTGAGACTGCTTCATGTGCTAATGAAAAGCTGTGTCCTGGGCAATTTATGAAAAGTAAAGCACCTCATGTCTTCCCCTATTAGATTACAAGAGCCTTAAAGAAAGGAATGGCATCTTTCTTTTTGCTACATCCCCAGCACCTACCATAAACAGGCACATCATAGCTCCCAATACTGCTTGGGTATTATCTCATTGAGAAATTTAAACTGATGTGTGAAAAGCCCTACTAACATGCAACCTTTCAGGATGATGGGAAACATTATAAGGGACTATCAGAGTGCAGTCCAGGTTTAAGAAGAGTTCCTATTAGAAGCAATGGCCTTGGCTGATGAGTCTTTGTGTCTTACTACCCACAGTGATGTTCCTGGGGGCTTCATTCCTGGCAGAGATTCTGAATCCAGTTGACATTGTAATTGCTCAACCTATTACTATTTGAACAATAGCCCACAATCCTAGAGCTTGTTTTATTTGTTAATTTATATATTCAACAAATATTTATCAAGCATCTGCTACATGCCAGTTGCTCTCTGAAATGCTGGGGATACCTGTGGTGAACAAGACTAGCAAATTCTGATGGAGTTTTACCTTCTAGAGGGAGGGAAGATGCACAGACAACAAACAGTAAGAATTAACTCAATAATTTCAGATCTTGGTAGGTACTATGATGGGCTAGTGACCAATAAAGGTGGATTGGATAAAGGTGGCACTTCCTTCAGGTAAAGTGCCTCAGAAAGGCTTCCGTGGGGAGGAGAAGGAGCTAGTACAAGAGGGGAGGGCATTCCAGCTCAAGGGAACAGGCGAGGGCAGGCACAGTCTCTCGAAGCCAGTAATTGCAGGAGGAATGTGAGAAACGGAATGGGCTGGAGCATAGCTAGTGAGGGAAGAGTGTTAAGAGATGAGCCTGGGAAGAGTAGATGGGGCCAGTTCACAAGGTCCATGCAGGCTAGGCCTAGTGAGGATTCAGGCTGAGCAAAGGTCTTAGGGTTTCTCTCACAGTATGTTTGGTGGGTACTTTCCATTTGTGTACACTCTGGGCCTTCTGCAGGGTACCAAGAGGGCAATCTGTACCATAAGAAGTGTAAACCTGTTCCTCAGCATTCAAATGATGAAAAATCACTGATCAGTTGCCCAAGTAAAAAAAACCTTTGCTCTACAAACCACATAATATTATGAGCTATTACTCTTAAGTCAGTCTTTGTCTATCCTAGTGAGACACAGGCTCTATGTTCTCAAGCCAAACTTAAAGACTGAATTGGAAGCAGCCCTCTTTTAAAACATTTTATCAAGAGCAATCTCTGATATTTAATTTTTGTCCCAACTTTATTTTTTTTAATTTAATTTAATTTAATTAATTTATTTATTTTGGTGTCTGGCTGATAGGGGGATCTGAACCCTTGACTTTGGTGT